ATGATCACCACAATCAAGTTATTTAACTTAGCTGATACTTCACATAGTTACCATTTTTGTCTTCTTTTTGTTGTTGTTGTTGTAGTGAGAACACTTGAGATCTGCTGTCTCAGCACGTGTCATGTCTACAATGACACGATGCGGTATGGTTAACTGTAGTTTCTTGTTGCACATTCAATCCCAGAACTGACTCATCTTGCGTAACTGAAACTTTGTACCTTTGACCAGCATCCCCCCAATTCCCCAACCCCCTGCTGGTGGCCAGTCTACTGTCTGCTTCCCTGAGTTTGACTAGTCTCCATTCCTCATGTACGTGAGATCACGTGGTATTCATCGTTCTGTGTCTGGTGTATTTTACTGAGCATAATGCTCTCCAGGTTCACCCATGTCATTCCCCGTGGCAGGACTTCCTTCTTGCCTACACCTGCAATTCCACTGTGTGTGTGTCTACATAATTCCACATTTTCTTTATGCATCCATCTGTTCATGGGCATTTATTTCCATATCTTGCGTGTTGGGACAAAAGATAAGTGTCAGTGAGGATGTGGAGAACAGGGGACCCTTGTGCACTCTTGGCGGGGATGCAAAGTGGTTCAGCCACTGTGGAAAACAGGATGGAGGTTCCTCAAGAGACTATGATCCTACAATTCCAGTTCTGAGTACATATTCAAAGGAAATGAAGTCAGAATCTTGAAGAGACATCTGTGCCCCATGTTCATGGCAGTGCTATATTCTAAGACATGGAAACTCTAGCCAAGGCATGGGAAGTTTGGCACGTCTCAGGCCCGCTCAGATGTGGATTTGGAGCTAGTTGTCCCTTTGCCTTAACCTGGGGAGACCCGGGAAACCATCCTTGGACATTGCCTTTTTCCTTAAAGAATACATCTGTTGACTCTGGGGAACATAAAAGAATGTGCTCAGTGTCCCAGTTTTTCTTAAGCCTGTGGTTCAGAGTTGTCTTCCTGAGTTTCTAAATCCAGCCCACCTGTGGCCCTCTTCCAACATTATACAGGTAAGCCAGCACCAGCTCTCTCTTGCGCCAGGGGTGAAATTGTATTGAGGAATTGTGCAAATTCACAGACTTTGGTGTTGAACAAAGCTTTGTATCTGCGCTCTAGCTCGCTAGATCAGTGACCTTTGGTATGTAATTTTGCTCATCCCCCTCAGGTGTAGGTATAGATGGCCCCCATCTGTAAATTGGACAGTGAAGGTAGCACCACCGTGGGGTAGGTGTAATGATTTAATGAGATGAAATGCATATTCTAGGCCATCAGATTTTGCTTCTATAGATGAGTCATAGTAGTGCCCCTGTGAGATAGATGTAAGGATTTAGTGAATGAAATGCATATCATAGTCCATATCATGTAGTACGTGATCAGTTAAATTTAGCCATTAGAAACAGCACATATAGGGCATCTGGGTGGCTCAGTCAATTAAGCGAATGACACTGGCTCAGGTCGTGGTCTCAGGGTCGTGGAATCAAGCTCCATGTCGGGCTCCCCAGTCAGCCTGGAGTCTGCTTGTCCCTCTCCCTCTGCCGCTCTCCACCACTTTCTCTCTTTCTCAAATAAATAAAATCTTTAAAACATTTTTAAAAAACAGTACATATAAAACCCGTGAAGTAATTCATATCGTTTTCCCTGATGTCATCTAGAGAATGCAAGTATTTAATCAACTGGGGAACACACACATATATCATCTCTGTGTATTTAGTATGGTTTTTACTTTGGAGTCAGTATAGATTGACAGAATTACAAATATTAAAGATAGTTAACTGCTTTCCCTGTACCCAGCTTCCTCCAGCATTAACCTTCTGCATAACCACTGTTATCTGTCAAGAAATTAACATTGGAACATCACCTTTAACTGAACTATACATTTTCCACTAATGTGCTTTTTCGTTTCAGGATCCAATCTGCAACGCCACATTGCACCTAGATGATACATTTTTAAAGGATTCTTTTTCATTATTGTGGTATTTTGGTCTACCTTCTGCTTTATTTTATGTTAACCAGTGGGGCAATAAATATATACTGTAGCCATTAAACAAGATCTTTATATTATGTAGCAAACTTCCTTTGTTGTTCTTAAATTAAGTGAAGTTCTACGAACTTGATCTAGTAGAAGGACAGTCATGTGCATATTCTATCAGCTTGATCCCAAAGAAGGATAAACATCTGAAAATCATATGAGGTTCATCTAGAAGGATAGTCATGTATGTATTCATCTCGTTGAAGAATAAACATATGAAAATTCTCTGAGCTTGATCCCACAGATGGAAAAACAAATGAAAACCCCATGAGGTTTATCAAGAAGGATATAGCGGGTACATATTCTATGAGTTTGAACTCGAAGAAGAGTCAGAGTTAAGTCTATGAGTTTGATCTAGTAGAATAGATTTTTTAAAAATTCCATGAGCTTAAACTAGTAGAATAGGTGAAAATTTTATGAGGTTCATGTGGTAAAAGGCATGTGCATATCCTGTGAGCTAAATCTTACAGAAGGATAAACAGATGAAAAAAATCTGTGAGTTTGATCCAGTAGGACAAGCAGCTGAAAATATTAGGAGGTTCATCTAGTAGAAGGATTCACATGTGCATAATCTGTGAGATTGACCTCGAAGAATAAACAGATGGAAGTCTATGGGCTTGATCTAGTAGATGGATAAGCAAGTTTAAATTCTGCAAGCTTGATCTAGTAGAAGGATACATAGATGAAAGTCTATGAGCTTGGTCTAGTAGAAGGATAAGCAAGTTTAAATTCTGTGAGTGTGGATAAGCAGGTGAAAATCCCATTATCTCGATCTGGTAGAAGGGTAAACAGGTGCACATTCTAAGTTTGATGGAGTAGAAGGATAAGCAGGTGAAATGCCATGAGCCTGATCTACTATACAAATAAGGAGGTGAAAGTTCTATGTGCTCGATCTCCCAGAAGGATAATCAGGCTGATTCACAGGTTGTGATTCCTCCTGTAGCTCAGTCAGCTATTGACAACTTGAATAAATTATGGCAAAGTGTTTGAACTTCCCTATTCTTTGATGTGATATCTGTGATGCAAGAGTAACAGTATTTGTCAGATAATTACCTTAAGATCATGTTGAAAAGATTTAGTGCGATACTTTCAACTTCTCGTGGAGGCCGTTCTAGAAACTGCAGACTATAATATGCATTTATGTGTGAATTTTCCCTGATGTCTGTGCGTACAAAACATTTAGTGCCTGAAGTTTGAAGATCTTGTTTATAAGAGGAGTTCAGGCTGTAATCGTGAGCTACAGTTCATTCAGCAGTGGTCAGAATTCACTGTACCATCATCAAAAACCAGCATGACGAAGTGAAGCTTTGCTTCAAGATCCCTTGAACCTCTGTCTCCGGCAATGCATTTTTTAAGTTTCGAGGGCATTTGCATCCTTTGTTAACCATGCATGGTATTCATGCTTTCTCTCCTTTGCTATGCATCTGCGTTGTCCTTCGACTTTCTTCACTTCCCTCTTTTATTCTTTTTTCTAAAGTCTGAAAAGCTATTTTCAAGGAGCTGAACGTCCATTCTCTCCCTTGTTTCCAGCCTGACATCCTGTGGTTATTATTCCTGTGGTGTTCAGCTGCGCTCAGTGCATTTGAAAGCTGTGGGGAAGGACTTTCCCGGAAACCATGTGTCTGGTTTTACCTCTATCTGTGTGCTTCCTGCATGGCCTGGGGGGACCCGGCCCTTGGCTCTCTGAGCCCCGGGCTGGCAAGCCGCTGCCTGTGTCCCTCCAGGCGTATCCGTGGCAGGCCTTGGAGAGCAGCCTCTCTGCAGGGCCACGCCCACTGGAGCTCAGCTCACCACACCATGCTCTCCCCAAACCCCTGTTCTGCTCTATGTGCTTAGAGTCAAGTGACGTCGTATGGACAAAGCTCATTCCCTCAACGAAATGGTAAGAGCTGTCCTGCTAGTAAAGTAACTAGCATTGATGAAAACGGCCATGTCGGGTGCTGCTCCACTTCTGTTCTAGACACTGGACGTGGCATTTGCGATAATTCTACCTAATGCTCAACCGAATGTGTTGGGGATGTGAGGCACGGATGCCTGAGCTGCAGAGCTGGCGTTTTCTTTTCCTGTGGCTGCCCTGAAAATTATCGCAAATTCGGTCGCTCAAAACAACACAGATTGATTAGTTTATAGTTCCGGAGTGCAGGTGTCCAAAATGGGTCCACCTGTGCTAAAAATCAAGGTGTTGGCACAGCTGTGTGCCTTTGTGAAGGCTCCAGGGGAGAAGGTGTTTCCGTGCCTTTTCCAGCATCTAGAGGCAGCTGTATTCCTTGGTGTGGGGCACCTTCCTCCATCTTCAGGGCCTGCTGCATAGCATCAGCCAGCCTCTCTCTCTGCCCTGATTCTGAGTCTCCTGCTTCCCTCCTCCTCTTATCAGGACCCTTGTGATCATGCTGGACCCACTCAGATAATCCAGGGTCATATTCCAGATTATCCTGGGGATATGGTTCCCCTGTAAGAGATACCGTATACCTGCTTCCCTCCTCCCCTTATCAGGACCCTTGTGATCACGCTGGACCCACTCAGATAATCCAGGATCCTAAGCACTTTGGCCATGAGAGGTACCACATCCCCAGGTTTTGAGGATGTAGACATGGGCATTTTGGGGTACTATTGGTTTGCCAACGACCACTGGCAAAAGTAGAAATGGAATTTCAACTTTGTGACTCCATAGTCATTGACTTGAGTCCTTTCTTACTCTGAGAGCTGAGTTTCCCCGATGAGTCATAGCTCGTGACCACTAGGTGATGCTGGCCTGTGTGGTGCATAGTAGGGACCACGTCGTATTTTTTTTCACCACCACGTATGCTGTATTGCTCACAAAATTTTCATTGAATCCATATAATTAGAGAACTTGGCTCTTCCAAATCACCCGCCCCATGCCGAACATGGAAGAGTACACTGAAATGAGCCTTAAACCAAGCTTTGAAAAGACGTACGTCTCCCTGTTGCCTCTTTTTTTGGTCTTCCAGGGGGGAAAGCAAACAACTGGGAAGGAGGTATCCGGATTCCGGGCATTCTTCGGTGGCCAGGGGTGATAAAGGCTGGGCTAGAGATTGACGAGCCAACGAGCAACATGGACATATTTCCTACGGTGGTCAACCTCGCAGGATCGCCATTGCCCGAGGACAGGTACTGTGACTCAGATGCACTTGGTATTGTGTCATTCAGATCTCACAGGGGCGAGTGTGCTCTGGTTTGCCTGCATGGCGGCGTTGTTATCTGCAGAAGGACTTGTCATCCACGTCCAGTTAGGGGGCTCACTGATGGGGCCGCCGACGCAGAAACGCCGTCAATCCCGTTCTCCCAGTGGGAAGTCAGTGGCAAGGTGCGGTGTCTGTTGGCTCTCATGAGTCTTCGACTTTCCACATCCTACTGATGCTGTCTCTCCTGGCTGTGCCTTCCACAGGCCTGTCACAGGGCAGGTGGGCAGCCACCTCTTTGACCCACCATGTTTGGCTCCCCTGCCTTTGCTCGGGGTCCCACTCAGCTGCTCTTTGCTGCGGCAGCAAGAAAGGCAGCCGGTTCCCCCGTTAACGGCCCTCCCTCCCATCCCAGCCTGTCTTCATTTAGCAAGTTCTAAATGAAACGTCTTTCTCTTGAATTTAAATACAACTTCATATGACATTGCCAATGGTTTCTTCTTAAGTGTTATTACCAATCTGAAGAGTTTTAAGTGAAGCATGGTGATTAATTGTTTTCATTAGTTTGGTGGCAGGCCAGGCTAATGTCATGCAGGCGGGGCTGCAAATCTTGTTTCAATTCAGCTGCCAGCAGAACGAAGAGGAAACAGGAAATAGAGAGGTGACCGTAGCTCAGCCAGCGCTCAGTCCGGGATAGGTTTGCTCATTTCCCATTGCTTTTAAGCTTGTTTTATCGTTTATTGTTTCCTTATTGTTTTGAAGTTTGTTCTGTAGTTGTATCTTCCCCGCCCCCAACACACACACACACACACACACACACACACGCTAGTGACTAGGCAACATTGGACAGCTCAGCCCTTCGCAAACCTTGCAGTCTCAACACCCATGTACTTCTTCCGTCATTGAGGAACCCAAACACCTTTTGTATATGTGGCTTATGTCTGTCAACGTTTATCATAGGAGACCCTAAACCTGAAAAAATTCTGAACACACACAAGTGCCCAAGCGCACCTTGCATCCGTGGACAGTGATGATGTCATCATCACCTGCTGTGAATCCACTGGAAGAACGCGCCATGCGCTCCTGCAGGAGCCATAGCTCAGAAGGCAGAGAGCATTTAGTACTCTCATGAAAACAGTGTTGGCTGTGTGAGCCACATGGAAGGGTCTTGGGGGTGCCTGTGGGTCTCTGGGCCACACTCTGAGAGCATCTGGTACTGTGCCTAAGAGCAGGGATCCTGCTTGGGTTCTGATCTTGGCTTCCCTGCTGGGTCTGTGTTTCACTTCATGGGCCTTGATTCCTCATCTGGAACGTGGCTTCAGTCACGGCACTGACCTTGCAGCCTCCCTGGGAAGACTGAGCAGGAGAGCATGTAAGCACATGAACGGTGGCCATTGTTGGGTTTCCCACTACACTGAGAGGGAAGAAGTACATCAGCGCAGTTCTTTCTTCTTCCACAGTCAACGATCATCTGGGATCATAGAATCCTAAAGGGGGAGGCCTGAAGGGCACTTTTAGGACTTACTGTGCTCAAACTAGTCCTTTGCTACCTCAATGACAGAAGGAAAACATGACAGCAGGAAGTCATAACAAGTGTTACCTTATGTGAAGCCAGAAATCTCACGCCCCATCTCATCTATTCATGGGCTCTTGTTCTTACCCTTGGAGTAACACTTGGTGTCTCCTTAAGTAGTGCACACAGAGTGTTCAGGCCATTTCATTAATGACCTTTTTCTCTCATGGCTCATAATCTTAAAATCAGCACTGCCTTTGCCTTCACGGTATCTTTAAATGGGCTTCGATGCAATCGGGGAAAGACAAGGGAAGGGAAAGGTCAGAGGCAAACAGGAAAATCCGCTGAGGGAAATCTTGTGGCTCTGGCCTCCTGTGCATGCCAATCTGAGGCTCATGGAGGTCAGTCTGTTTTCATTGTATGTGCCCACTGAAGAAAGAAGCAGCCTCCCTCTTCAGCAGGCCCAAAATATTTCATGTGGGAGCCAAGACATTGGTAAGAACTGCCTTTGCAATATGGAAGATGCTTTTCATGGATCTCACTGATGCGTGTTGACCCAGCTCAGTGCAACGATGCTGTCTCTGGGTGGAGCTGTAAGGCCCCAGAGAATGCCACCATCATCCTGGAGACTGCACAGAGAAGGAAACAGAACTCTGCGTTGTCCACACCCTTCGTGGAAATAGAATTAGTCACATAATGTCTGATTTAAATCGTGTTACCGACCGGGTCCAGAAAACATCCTCGTATACCTGCCCTCGAGACTGGGAACATCTAACTTGGTGATTCTCACCGGGGTGACTGGGGTGACTCTTTCTCCCAGGGCCCATGGACCATGTCTTGGAGATATTTTTGACTGTCTTAACTCAGTGTTACTGGCATCCAAATGCCAGGGATGCTGCTTAACATCCTACAAAGCTCAAGACAGCTTCCCACAACAAAGAATAATTCAGCCAAATATATTAGTAGTGCTGGGGTTGACAGATTCTGCTCTCAGGCTCACTATTGCTCTTTTATGGAAAATATTGTTGTGATGCATTAACGTCATCAAAACTTTTCAATGAAAGCATCTGGACAATATCCCCATATGTGTATCCATCTATAAATGATTCACAATATCTATTCTTTAGAAGATAGCCTTAACTCTCCCCCACAAAGATTGGTGGAGGTCAGCTTCCCTGATTTCTTGCATGAGCAGTGTTAAATTTACATTTCTCAGGAGAATAAACTCATTTGAAGGGTCGAACCCCAAGCTGTCTGACGAGGACTTAATGAGATGCCCTCACATCTTTCTGTGTGTTTTGTGGGGTCAGGAGGATTTCTATTCAAAAGACCCCTTGCCTTCAGGTACAACCTTGTCATTCTCAAGAACCATTTTGAGTCTGGTGGGTGACCTTCCTGACCAATCAGAGCTCGACGAAGGATGAGAAGCCCTTCCATGCAGGGTTTCTGCTTCGGTCAAGAGAGCAGGGCTATGGGGATACACATAAGAGATACTTGCTCGGCAGAGTCTCAGTGCTACTGTGAGAATAATTCTTTCATTCGACCCCGTGCCGTGCCCGCATGAGATTCCTCTCCGGCGTGAATTTTTCCTGCACGCATACTTCACTGATCCATTTACATTCAGCAGCACAGTTTATCAAAAGAATTTTGGTGGCCATTACCCCAGGCGTGTTCAGAAAAAATTGTTCCCCCTGTGTCTCCAAATGAGCTAATTCTGGAAATAAAGGGAGGGCAACCCTTTTTGTGTGTGTGTGATATTAAACATATGCAACATGGATGTCCATAAGAAGAATGTATAATGAAATGTATTAATTCCCGAAAATGAAAAACCTTACCATCAGTCACATCTTTGCAAGCAGATAGAATATTGTCAGAGGAAGCCTATGACGATGCTCCTCGTTCACAGATGTTGGTGATGAAGAATTGCAACATGCCCTAATTGGTTAAACCGTTGGAAACCATCCAAATTCTGGCCAGAGATGGTTCAGCTGAGCGGGAAGAAAAGGGGGGTGCCAACATCCTTGAAAATCACACTTTACAAAAGGTGAAAGACTTAGGTCTCATCTCTCATAAAAATAAAATTAAAATGTGATTTTTTTTTTCAAGTTAAAAAAGGAAATCAGTGCTTGAATGCTTGATACCAGTTTTGTGTAATGAAGACAAGGGGAGTGACTTCATTCTCCCATTTAATTTTGCTGCCCGATAGCTGTAGAGGAGTATTTCAGTAGAGTCCTACAAATAAAACTAATTCTTCTGCATTTTGCAGAATAAAAGGTGAAACTCTTCATGTATGCGCCACCACTTATGGTTGACCTTGCTTTATGTTCAAGTTAGGCAGTGAGTTTAATGCGTACAAAGGGAGGCGTTTTTTAGGTTATAACTCTCTGGTTACTTGGGGTTTCCTTTATGAAAATATCTTTCTGTTTACTTGGGATTTTCCTTAGTTTATGGAAGATAAACGTTCTACATTGAAGAAATCACTTTATTTTGAATATCGCACAGGTAGCTCATAAACATCTGTGCCCCAAATTAACCTCTTTGTCCCCCAAAACCGCCTCTTCTCTGTCCTCTCACCCCCAAAGCTTTCTCTAGTCGTATGATCCCCAAATCCTTCTGAGAGCCGGCCAGGCAGAGGCAAGGACATTTGGGCGGACGATTCACTGGTTCGGAGCTAAGAGAGAGGCCAGCACGTTCACGGGGGAGTGAGGGTCACTGTAGCCCAAGGAACGTTCCCAAAACATGCTCTCTGCACTGATGTGAAGGTCGTCCCCGCGGTGTTTAGTTTGACCTGACATTCTGAAATGCACAGTGCTTGGAAATGAATGATTGAAATCATGACCGTGTTGTGGGACAGGAGCCCATGGGGAATATTCCTACCTCACTCTCCAAATTCCACATCACGTCCGAGGAACGTGGAATTTGGCTCCCTGTCACTTTGAGAGAACCTCGGCCCCAGTCCCCCAGGCTGTGACGTTATGGGAACATTTCCATACGGGCAACGTCAGGGGTCATGGGCTGTCTCCGGCTTATGGCCACGGCTAACTGTGACTCACACACGTGATTTAAAACAATCCCAAGTGTTTTGATGGCTTCGACACCATTTAAAAGTTGAGCGCAAGTAGGGTCCCTTTCCATTTTTCATGGCAGAAACGAGCCGCTTTTGACGGGTCATGTTTCTGTAGCTCTCTTCAATGGTGGCTCTCCATGGCCGTGTGATTTACTGCCCGCTTCTAAGAATATGAGCACGTTAGGTGTAGGATATTTAAAAAAAAAAAAATGAGCTCTAGGTCTACATCCAAAGAATAAGGAGATAGAGGTAGAGATTCTGTCCTGGGAATGAAGATGGGTTCTCCATCCCGGATGGTCCTGGAAAGGCCTGCTCTCCACATGAGGTAGAGGTCCCGGGAGTGGGGGGGTGGGGAGTTTTGCATCCCTCTGTCCCCTCCTCTGGGTCATTTTTCACCGCTTGGGGCTTCTCTTCAGACACATAGACCTGCTCGCTCTAGTGCACCACTTCCTTTCTTTCCACCCTATTCAGGGTTGCATATTAGTACGGACTAAGTCTTTCTCGAAAGGGATTTGAAAGGACCAAAGCACAATGACTGCCATTTCAGGATAGGAAGAGTATTTCAGAGAGTGTACCGTTTCTCAACAGAAGCATCTCTCTACCTTGCTTCCTTCTCCTCCTGTCATGGCGAACGGAAGCAGGGGCTTGGGAAGGGGGCCAAGTCTGCCTTTTGTTCTTATTTTTAGCTCACAATAATAGAATATTTTCAGTCCGTAGGCTTCTGCGGAGCTCGTGATTAATAACAAGGGTGGGGGCTGGAGAAGTGCTAAGCAACAGGACTGTAATTATAGGACGGGGGTTTTAGGGACACCAAAATAAACCACACACAAAGCTCAAGGGACGCGGGGCCTCTCAAGAATGCTAACCCAAATTATATAGCCAACTCTGCCTTCCAGTTTCTAAATTCCTCACAATAAGGGATGATAGGGATGGCGTGTTTTTAATCAGAGGAAGATAATCCTCAGGTGAGACCATCTGACTCCTTCAAAGTCGCTCTGTGTCTGTAGTTTTAATGATGGGGCCTGATGGTATCAATGGCTTCTGTTGGTCTAGTGGCTCTTAATGTATGTTTTTCCTTTCTTTAAATGCCAAATAATCTGCTTTTGCTCATAACCAATTGGATATTATCAAATGTTTGCAGTCTGGAAATTTCCCCTTGGTCTACTTACACATGCAGTCCTGGAAGAGATATTTGCATCTGGGAACAATGCATCCAGAGGGTGTTTAGTGTCATCGTCATTAGTATTTATTCACAAATTAGTTCATTCTGATTTAGATGTGTGCTTCCACGGACATCTATCCAATCCAAGTTGTGCCCGTGCTCTGTATTACCTTTGTCACCTAAATTGTTAGATGTTCTTATTTTCCATGGAGCTATGTACTTTGTAAGTGAAGCTTCCTCTGTGCCAAGGCAATAGGCAGAAGTTGGGTTTAGGATGAGCAGCAGGGAGAGCCGTAGAGAGCACTGATACCCAATAATCAGCTGGGTTTGCTTCCCATGGGCTGGTCCCAGTCCCATGACCTCGGGTAAGTCATACACGCTTTCTGATTGATGTCTCCTCAACTCATCACCACGGGATGATAATGGTCCCGACTCATGGTGCAGGATTAAATGAGTTCATGCAAGAGCAGAATTGGCCTCAGGAAGTTGCATACGGTGCCCGACAGGGGTCAGTGAGTGTTCTTTGTGTTGGTTGCTGGATTATAACTAGGTGACTCTCTCATGCTCTCATTTGCTGGAAGGACAAGTCAAAGGTGGGGCGATTTAGCCCGAAGACCATGCAGCTGTTCCCCAGCTGATGCCTGTCTGATTTGTCCTACAGAATCATTGATGGACGTGACCTCATGCCACTGCTTCAAGGGAAGACCCAACTCTCCGATCATGAGTTTCTCTTCCATTACTGCAACTTCTACTTAAACGCTGTGCGCTGGCGCCCTCGGAACAGTGAGTAAAACAGACCTTTCCACTCTTCTAGCACGTCCGCCATCGGGGCCGTGCAAGGAGATGAGATGGCAAGAGCGCTTTGCTCTGTGAAGGCTGGGGGATGCGTCCGCATGTCACGGTGCTTCGCTTCGAGCTCCTCTTCCTGTCTTGTCTTGTTCCTTCTGGTCTTGCCACAGTCCAGGCACGACGTCAGCGGACCCTGACCCTGACTTGTGAGTGGTTCTTCCTCCTAGGCAGAGGAAGCCCCAGGTTGCAGCCGGGGCACAGTGGTCCCCATCCTTCATGGCCTGCTGGCTGGCTGCCCGGCTTCAGGCCCGTAGCACAAGTCCCTTCTCGCTGTGACTTGGAGCCAAACCAGCGTTCCACTTTAGGGGGCACACAACTTGCGTTTGTGCATCCTCTGCCTGGAAGGACATTCCTTCTCTTGCCTTTTGGGGAATGCTTAGCAGCTTAGCAGCACCCGCCGTCCAGTGCCCCCCTGAAACACCACCCCTGTGCCCGCTCTCTAGCACTTTGTGCCCTCCTGGAGCTTTGCGCTGTGAAGCAGAATGGCATTTAGATGTTTCTGTGACTTTCTCTCCAAAGTCTCAGCCGTGGTGGGGCCTGAGCCAGATTCAGACCTTTCACGTTCAGTTCAAATGCCTCGAGGTCCTCGTACATCCCAGACTGGGCATTCTTTGCACCATGCACTCTACCCGAATCGGGATGGCGTTTGGGTCTTCCGATACCAGTTTGGGGTTGTATCCGTGCCAGGCATAAAGGAGCAAATGCAACCGAGCGATAATCCTCGGTGCAGGGATAGGCTTTAGATATTTTTTTCCCCGTGTCTTTAAACTTAGAATCGTAGTGATATTCAGATCGCAAAGAGACATGGGGGTGTGTGGAAGACGGTTCCTGCCAGCTTGTATGTGCGGCAGGTAGATGTTGAGGAGGGACTTCCCGTTTCATCTTCAGAGGTGAAAGAAAACTCCCCTTTTTCTGTGTTGTGCTTTGGGTCCTGCTTTGGGAGGCTACGCTCTGCCGGACCTCCCACCTGAGGGCTCACTGTTGAACTCGGGATGACGTTCATGCTGGTTTTCCACACCTCCCACTCCCCACCCTGCGCACCCAGCCAGTTCGCCACAAGAGTAGCCTCACCATTCTGTTTAAAATGGAAAATCACAACCCTTCCATTAGCCACAGAAATTGCAGTAGGTTTACCCTTCATAGTTTCTACTTTAAACCCGGCTGGCTTCCTTGCAATGTTTCCCAGAAGATAAATATGAGAGAAGCATGAGTTTAGCGTTCTAGACCAGGAAGCGTTCTTTATACTGATCTCGTCAGTGTGTCTGTAATTCCAAACATCCGCAGGGACACGGTTTCTTGTTCAGATTAATCAACACAGGTGTGAGTCTTCCAATGAATTGGAGGTGTCCTCCTTCCCGCTTGTGTTTACCTGGAGCCGTAAATGCACAGGATGAAGTTTCTGTGACTCTTGGCTGATTGAAGAAATGCGATAGCATGTCCTGAACCTCACAGAACTGCATTTCTGTAAAGCCAGCACCCCCCCCCCCATGACCCCCAGTCGGAAAAGCCAGAAGGAACATATTGGATCAGGGGCTGGAGAAACACACTTTGTGAAGGAGGAAAGACAAAAGGGACAGAGAGAGACAAAATAAGAGTACGTGAGAAAAACAAAACCCAGATTGTGACAGGCAGCTGGGCTAAAATTTGCTTCTCAGACACACCCAAGTAACATTTCCTCCTGTGCAATTCTTGAACATCTGCTGCCTTGAACCAGCAACAGGAAAGGAGACAGGGCGGTATTTCAGTGCTGGAGGCATCCATCCAGCTAAGGGGTCATGACACACCATCGTTTTTACGACCCATCTCTTACTTGGCTTTGACGTTATATCTGAAACTCGGTAACAGCGTTTGTCCACGATCTCCCATGGCTTTGGGGGTGTCTATCCAGTACTGCATCTATTTATTTATTCTACAAATATTTTTGAGCACCTGCTATGGGGCACCTTCCGTGCTAGGATGAGTGTCTGTCAGTGGGCAAAACAGACCAAATGCCCTGCCGGGCGGCTGTTACAGTCTAGACCATGATGCACGGCCGGCAGGGTCAAATGCTGGGAATGCAGAGGTGCGTGGGGGAAGTGTGACTCTCATCTGTATGGACTTGGGTAGTACTGGTTGGGTAGGTCGGCTGAGATCATCGCAGATCTACTTTGGGAGGAGATTGCCAGTCATCGCCTACTCGGTGCTGGGACACTGTCCATAAGTCTTAAAGATAAGAGGGTTGCCGCCTGAGCTCACAATATGTTATTAGAAAAGAAAACAGGGGAGGAAAAGGAAAGAAAAGAAAACAGCGGTGCCTAGGTGGCTCAGTTGGTTAAGCGTCTGTCTTTGGCTCAGGTCATGATCCCAGAGTGCTGGGATCGAGTCCTACAGGCTCTCAGCTCAGTGGGGAATCTGCTTCTCCCTCTACTCTCCGCAACCCCCCCCCCCCGCTCACGCTCTCTCTCTCAAATACATAAGTAAAATCTTAAAAAAAGAAAAAAGAAAACAAAATTTAGGATTAGGATTTAGTCTCAGGTAGGGGTGTGTTGGAGCTGGGTCCCGCTTGGTCGAGAATCTTTCCCATGTGCCGTTAAACCGTTGCTAACTTCAAGTCAGTCCATGCTGGGCATATTTACCCCATGGGAATCAGCGGACACAGCAAATTCGGGCTTTGTTCCTCCCTCAGAGAGAGCTGGCTTACCAGCAGGTCGCTGGTACCGGCACATTAGACCTGACCGCAAATGTTAAGGTCCAATTACCATTTGTCCTGATTAGTTGGAGGCCAGAGTATTCTGGACTTATTAAGTACTTATTTTCCAAACACTTGGAGCTACAATTTTGTTTCCACCCTTTTGTAACATGAATCCCTTTTAACTGCTATATACGACGTCTTCTCTGTAATTTAATAATTCCATAATTATAATAATTTTATAATTTAGTTGTCTCAGCAAGTTGAATGACATAATTTAATCATGAGCGAGTATCATTACTCACATTACATTGTGAAAAGAACTCCCCAACACATTATTAGAACATGCATAAGTTTTCTTGCATTAAAATAGGAATTTTGAGTTAAAACGGAGTGTTCGATGTGCATTATAAGTCTTGGCTTTAAGTTTGGGCATATGAATCAGCGCTATTAAAAATTCAGCATAATGACAAATTGATTTTATGGATAAGATTTATCGTAGAAAGCAGGTACCTACTTGGCTCTAGGATTCTGTTACTGATTTTCAAGCTTGTGACTGTAGCATATAAAATAAATGTTTACGTGAATGTGTGAAAGCCCCCAGCAGAGCTGGTCACACAGAAATCCACGGGATGTGGTTATCCTGATGCTGAACCCACAGGGCCTCACAAATCCAGCTACATTTTCAGTTCAAGTTTTCTGGAAACTTTTACCTGTGATTAAAAAAAACCCAAAAAAAACATCTTTAGAAAAAATCAGGACAAAATGCTGTAGGATAATAGAATTCCTTCTCAAGAAATGTGTTCATAGTACTCGCTTCGGTAGCACGTATACTAAGAAATGTGTTCATATCCAACTTTTTAAAAGGTGCCTGCTTTCCAAAATAGGGGATGAGGAAGGTTTATTCTTTTTCAATTATGTAATATTGTTTATTATTAGAATTTCTGTAATGAATATGCAGATTTCTTTCACTCCTTTCTATTTCCCATGCCTATGCAAGACATAAGTAAGGTTTAAAATCAAGACAGCATGGCCGTTGTTAAGGAAAGAAAAATGCTTGCTTTGTGGACCATCTAATTTTTCCACACAGTTAACAAATTAATTTTGCCTCTAAACTACACCTAAGAAGAGAGAATATCCTACTTTTAGCTGCTTATGTCTTCATGGGTTGATGGTTAACCAGGTAGCAGGGCTGTGGTTGGCTTTCGTCTTCGTGACTCATTCCACCGGAAGCCTTTCCCTGTCTGATTGTCGGACGTGGGATCTAAACGGTCAGAAATAAAACATCAAGGGCTGACGCTGTGGTGACATGGGCTGTGGCATTTTGCAGCGAGGGCCTGCTAAGGATGTGCTCGTCCTTCAGCTGACCTTGAGAAGGACGGCTCTTGCCCTCTGCTGTGGCTCGTGTGGCAGGTGGATAGACCGCAACCACTGGAGGGATATACGTTAGGTCTCAGGCTTTCCTTTTGGTGTGTGAATCCCTGCACCAAATGCCGCACCCCGTGAGCTCAGCCTTCGCAGGCATTCACGCACGCATTGCTGTATGTGCCTTCTGAGCCCAGTGGAAGGGACAGCACGCCTACGCACAGGTGTGGCCGTATGGGCCCGATGGTGTCCCACGACACAACGGGATCCACTGTAGCAACCTGGGGAGAGCAAGGGATGTAACAAGGATGGAGGAGGCTTCCCTGAAACTGTGAGACTTCTATTTCTTTATTTTATCTCATTAGGGCTCACGCTCTCAGGAGCGGGCTGCACTTCCCCGCTGTTCATTTCCTTTAATGGGGGGGGGGGGAAAAACCTCGTAAATGGATTTTCCGTTTTCTTCAATGTAGTCCATTAAACATATATTTTCATATAGCACTTGGTATTCTCTTATATTAGACAGTATTAGGCAGTTTTTAAAATAGACATCCAGGGGCGCCTGGCTGGCTCAGTTGGTGAAGCACGTGACTCTTGATCTCAGGGTCGTGAGTTCAAGCCCCACGTTGGATGTAGCGATGACTTAAAAATAAAATCTTTAAAAGAGACATCCATTTTTCTACTAAAGCTTTCATATGCCTGACCTAAGATTTCATTAATATCATGGATGAAAAAAGTGTCAGCCGTGACTTTGGTTAATTTGTGACAACATTGGGGCGCCTGGCTGGCTCAGGTGGTAGAGCTTGCGACTCTTGATGTTGGGGTTGTGAGTTTGAGCCCCACGTTGGGTGTAGACGTTACTTAAAAATAAAATCTTCAAAGAAGAAATGAAAAGTTACTTCCT